CCACAGATTTAGCTATTTGTTTTCATGTACTCACCTTAGCCTTTGTATGATCAAGTTTGGGTCCCACAGTTTTCATTATCTGACAGAGGCATTCCAAGTCCTCACCCATATCCTTAAGTTGAACTCGCTTTTTCTTCTCCAAAAGCTGAAAATAAAAAGATTTAATTTATTCCTTGCTTTAAAAAAATAACACAAGATTCATGAATATACCAAACTTAAAAAAAAAGGAAAATAAACAAACAAAAAAACATTTAACAGAACTTACTGTTTTGATGCACTTGTGGAGAATTGACTCATGGATGAGATTGAGTTTGCCAAGTTCACCGATAAATTTGATGTTTCCCAGCATCTTGAACTTGGCAATAGAACGCTGCTCCTCCTCCTCAGAGGTGAGTGGGTTGTCATGTTTGTCAAAGACTACAGAAAAAAAAGTAAATTAAAATGTTACACAAATAAAGGCTGTAATTAGCAAGTGGTGGAAAATATGGAATATACTCACCATCCACATTCCTGGCACGGTTCTCAAATTCATCTTGAAGCTTGGAGATCAGAAGCCTTCTGAAGGTCTGGCAAAAACAACAACAAAAATTTTTTAACTTTAACACAGACACATACCAAGTCGATGCAAGCACTTTAAGGTTTTAAGAAAGCTTACTGTATTTTGCTTGCTCGCTGCTTGATTTTCTGATGGAGGTTCAAAGTTTGGAGCATCCTCTGCCAAGCGAAGACATAGTTGTGCATAAAGTTGGCTATACTTGGGTTCTTCAAGGGCTTTGTCCACAATCTAGAGATGAAATGAAACCAAATTAAACAAAAACATTCAATCAAACACAAAAATACTACTGTAGGACAGGTAATACTCACCAGTAAGACTGTTCCCTTTAAGACCAGTTTTGATTCCACACCCACATTGAGGAGTTCCAGGCAGAGTTTGTCAAACTTTTCAGGTGTCAACTTGTTAAGTATGCTAATAAAGAAAGAGACACAAAAACAATTATCAAGCTTTAAGGAGCAACGAACGGACAGGTTTCAGTAAAATACTCGATACATTAACCAACCATTTACAAAATTATATATAAGATGCAAARTTTCAGAAATGACGTGAGCAGAGCAGATCCAAAAGAGGATTTAAAATGTGACGTCTCCCTAATGTCATTTTCAAAACAATGAATTACTCCAAATGTTGCTGCATGTCATTAATCAAGATTCCTTCAGTATTAAATCACTTAATAACAAACTTACCCTCTCACTTTCCTGAAMGTTGCATCGTGTTCTCCTTTCTCACTGGAGGAGTTGACATCTCGTTTAGTGCTTCGAGAAGGAACCCATCTCTGAACGCCAGAACCTGGGGTTTTCCCCAGGAACTCGCTGTTAAAACACAACTTCAGTCAGTGTTGCCTAATCAACAGTTTCAGGAAAACAGGGAATAGAATGGACTTTGGTGCCAATGTGCTCCAGTAAATGATTTGGAAAATTACCTGTTGCAGACAGTCTTGGGACAGTGCTGAGGTGCACCCCCACCTCCTCCCCCCACACTGAAAGACAAATAAAAATAATTTACATTATAGAAATATGAACTTTAATGCATTTGGCACAGCGAATTGAGGGGAGCACTAACAAAGAGGAGATATATGGCTACAGTTAGAGAGGAGAGAGTGAGGACAGAGGATGCAGAGGACAAAGTGACATGAAGGATGACTAGTTGTGGTAAACCCTCTGAAAGATAAAGGAGATGGGAGGGGGTGTATTCTGACTYCAAAGTGGTACTGATGAATACCTGAAACGAGAAGGTCCCCCTGGTGCGACGACACTCTCCACTTTGGCGGCTTGACAAAAAATGTCTGAAAAGAATTAAGTTCAAATATGGGGCTGGAAAACACGACCTGCGACGGAAACAGAAAGCACTAAAATCAGCAAAACACTTAAAAGCACAAAAGAAGCACTGCGAAACATTAATTCTTCACATGAGGTCCAAGTAATTGACCACGCTTTACTTTTATTCAGTTTAGGGGCTTTAAAGCAAAAATCAGAGCGCACGAACGTCGACACGTGTGAGGTAGCGAGCGAGCTAACATGCTAACATAGCACGAAACTGGATTGCAACTAATCCCAGTTTCCTGTTAAAATAATATTTTATCGTAAACTGAGACGAAACGAAACCCCACGTATTTCCCAATACGCCTAAACACAGAGATAAACAGCGATTACCTAATCTAGGCAACYACATTAAGTAATATCTCTCTAGACGCAGCAAAAAAGATGTCCGAAATGTCCATACCAAAGGCCTTGACAAGAATGATTTCTGTTTTTATTTACGACAGTTCCGGCTTTTGTTATTATATAAAAATATTTATTATTTTTTAAAATACAGCTCTGGATCACTCTGTACCTTAGACTCGTCTTAGCCGATGAACACTCAAATACACAGATAACAGTTTCCTGCTATTTATTGTTTAAATGTTCTGTAACGATTTGGTTTAAAACATGTATTTTAACATTATTTATTCGTTAACGCACTGAAATCCGCACTCGAATATAAAATATCGGACAAAACCAAATTTCGAGGAGGAAGTACCATCAGCTGGCTTTCTGAGGTCTTTGTTCAAACACCGGATGTCGGCACAGCGACATCTTGGGGGGTTTTGTTCTCGACGCCAATTTAATAGCTACAAAAACGGRTAGCGGCCAGTTTGTCCTGTTTATTAAACCAGTAGAGAACAATCTGACATGCTTCATAAGGCCAACAGAAACAGAACAAGAAAACCCATCGGTATTTTTCCGCTTTCCAATTTACATAACCTCGATGAACTTCCTATCCTCGACTGGTGGCTAAGCTAACGTTAGCTAGCTACAAGGAGAAGGGAAACACCGACACGTCTTACCTTTACAAAAGGAACGTCAGCACGATTGTTTTCTTGTCAACTAAGTAGTAAAAAAATAAAGATGAATGAAAAATAAATACTAAAAAGCTGTCGTAGCTCCACACAGGTTTTTTGGGTGTTTTTTTAAATGCTCAGTAAACAGCGACGCTTTGCTATCGCAACTGGGAAGAAAGAAGACGGACTGTTCCCGTGCGTAACGCGAGCGTAGCTTTTGTATGGAGGTCGTGTGAAACGTCATCCGCCTGGGTGACGTCTTCTGCGGAAGGTTTGGAGCGTTTCGCAACCATTTTTCTGTTGAAACCCTACTCCTCGGTAGGGAAGGGTTTGTTCTTTTTCCTTTACTTGGAGATCAGCAAGTACTGGCCGAGTACAAGAAAGGGTTTCAGTTTCTCAAGTAGGTCTACAGCAGATAAACCTCAAGACTTACTTAAATACCTTTATATAAACGACAATAGATGTCAAAATACACAGTGTTCTAATTGTAGTTTTACATATAATGTGTATCATCCATGACCATTAAAAAACAAAACATAATATGCATCATACACAACCAAATTTCTACCACATAAATTGTAACTAATAGATCAGCAGAGTCATGTTTTGATGCCAACAATTAGTTTGTATTCATTCATCTTTATTTTTTAC